TGGATTAACTCTTATGGGAGGAGACAATGTTGAGTCTCCACCTAGAGGTAGATTCCATTTTTTCCTGAAACACTCCCCTCTAATGAGATAACCCTAAAATCTTTTAGGGACTGGAGTGAAATTGGGGAACAGATATAACCCATTTTTAATGAAAATCTAGAGATCCATTTCTAAAGCTGTTCCCAGAGGGCAGTAATGTCTTTTAGATTTTAGCTATCCAGCATATATGTATGTGAAAGTACCATAAAGGAAACTATTCATTTGTACACTAATAAAAGCATCAAGGGCTGGAGAGATGGCTCAGCAGTTAAGAGCTCTGGCTGCTCTTGCAGAGGACCTGGGTTCAGTTCTCAGCATCCACATGGTGACTGACAACTGTCCATAACTCCAGTTCCAGGGAATTCTGATGCCTTTTTCTGACCTTTGTGGGCATTGCTTGACATAGGTGCACTTACATATATGCAGGCAAAACACTAACACATGTAAAATAAGAATAAATATTTTTAAAAGAAGGGAGGCTAAGAAGGATGCCTAAATTTATGTAGTATGCATGTAAATATAGTTATGAGCCACACTGTCAAGTTTAATTCAAGATCTAGAACATCTGGCAAAATTCAGCATTTCTTCATGATAAAAAAATCCTTTTGAAGGCACCAGAAAATGGAGACTATGAACAATATTTGCTAAACCTATAGACAAGAATATTCTGAATATAGGAAAATGGAAAACATTTAGTTTAAAATAAGCCATAATACGCAGTTCCCACTCTTTTCCTCTATTTTTGTTAAAATAGACCCTAAATTCAGAGCCCAAGAAAGAACTAGATGGTGTTCAAATTTCAAAAAGGAAGACGTAACATTCTTGCCTTCAGATTACATGAGACTGGAGAGTCAAAGACCCTAAAACTCCTTGTAAATGCTTTTAAATCTTACTTGTACTTTCAGCATAGTAGTGGTATAAAATCATAGAAAACTCAGTAGATTTTCACTTACTTCCTCTGTGTGGTGTTAGGAATTGGACCTAGTGTCTTCTACTCAGCAGTCAAACCACACATCCCTGCTACATATGTAGCACTTTTAGTACCTTTTCTAAATGTGGAGATTATCTATGATAAAAAGGAAATCAGGAAAGCAGTACTGTTGTCAGTTCAAGAAAAACATGCAGGAATACTTCAAACCCTAGAGATTCAAGAACCCTATGGTTGAAACTACAAAATGCTGATTAAAAGGTACTGAAGAAGACTCTGAGTAAGAGAAGACCTCACATGTTTGTGACTTAGTGGAATTCATAGAATGAAAACACTGTTTTGGTGATGGGAATCTGCAATCCCCTGTGAATTCCAACACACAGAACATGTTGCTGAAGAATTCCCTTGTACAGTTCATAGAGAAAAAAATACCACCAGATAACCCAGGAATCCTGTTTAAAAACCAGTAATGCTGGACATAACACTGCTCCTCATGTCTAATTATGGTGTAGAACAATAGTTTTAAAATAGCAAGATATTGGCTCCCAAGCTGTCATATAAGACCCATGGAATTGAATAGAGGATGAACCTAGAAGTATATTCGTATAGCCACAGCCTTCTAAAAATTGCCAAGAATCTGTTGGAAGTTGGAAGTGGATGTGTACATACAGACAACTGACACCATCCCTCTCTCACCAGGTACAGAAGCAAGGGAATCAAACACCTTAACAGAAGACCTAAAATGTTGAAACTCCTGCAGGGATACATGGTGAAAATGATGTAAGATACAGTCACTGGGAATGAGTTTCTTAATAAGATGCAAATAAATCTGGAAATAACAGCAAGAATAGACAAATCTGACCGGGTCTTTCCTCATTGCAGCCAGACTGGGCTTCATGGTAACATGTCTCACAAAGAAACAAGCAAAGCATTGAAAAAAACTGATTGCACCCAAATCTAAAATTTCAGCCAATCAAAAACTATAACCAGATTGCAGAGACATCCAACATATTTAGGAGATTTGCCAATTCTTCATCCAACACAGGATTAACATTTAGAATATATGAAGAGTTTTAAAAAGTAAAGACTAAAAGAACAAGCAGCATAGTCAATTAATAGTGAAATAAACTGAAAATATTTATCTGAAAAAAAAAAGTAAGCCAATAAAACCTTGGTTGTAAGAGAAAGAGAGATCAGGCTCTAAGGGAACTGGAAACTTCCTCCCTACTGGCTAGCATTCATAGTGCCAAAAACTACTGTTCAGGCTGCTGAGGAAGAGATGGCACCCATAGTTTTACGCAGCTGTAAACCCAATAATCCACAATAATAGCCTACCAGGCAAGATGTATGGACTGTGCAGTAAGTAGCATAGCTGTACTGTTGGTAACCAATTCTCTGGTTTTGAGGCCTGCTCCAAAAGAGAGAATTCATGCTTGGTATTGTAAACCCAAATAAAACTCATGACTGAAGAGTTCTTAGGCCCTGGGGAGAAACTTACTACAGTTGTGTAGCTTAAAATGCATGACATCAAAATGCCTTCTAAATATTCCCATCTGTGCCATAGACAAATGCTGCACTCAGCTTTTCACAGGGAAGCTCCTTTTTGCAAAGAAGTGTATATCCAGAGCTTCATGGCGGCTCAAGGTTCTGAGAGTAAGGAACAGTGTGTTCTCACCCCTAAATGGGAGACTTATCCCGCATTGCTAAGGCTCAGAGAACATTGTGGAAGAGAAGGTAGAAAGAATGTAAGAGCCAGAAGACAGTGAGAAAAGCATGACATCATGCAGCCATTGCCACCATGACTTCACTTGCAGACACTGGGCCTGGCATCAACAAAGCATGGATTAGAGAGGGACACAGTGGAGCATACTTAACCCTGGTGAACTGTTGGCTTCTTGTTGATTTCAGGGAGAGGCAGTCATTATGCCTTTAGGTGAACCTACCAGACTTCAGTGGATAGTGTAAACCCCATGGTCTTGTACAAACAGTGTGTGTGTGTGTGTGTGTGTGTGTGTGTGTGTTTGTGTGTGTGTGTGTGTGAAAGAGAGAGAGAGATTCAAGAAAATTAATGAACTTTATTACAAAATGTAAAAACATGTCCAACATACTTGCCCATTAGGGAAATACAATGTAAATTTCATTTGGATCAGTTTCGTTCAAGGAAGAGTATCTTTCTCCAAGGACAAAAAATGCTGTAGCTTGTTTTTAAGGATCAAAGGAGAAAACAAAACCTTATACACTGTTAGTGATAGTGGAATTTTAAAATTTATTGTGTGTGCCAAGTGTGGTTGCACATGCCTTTAGTCCCAGCACTCGGGAGGCAGAAGCAGGCAGATCTCTGAGTTCGCGGCCAGCCTGATCTCCATAGTGAATTCCAGGTCAGCTGGAGCTACAGGGAGACCATGTCTCAAAAAGACCAAAAAAAAAAAAAAGTTATTGTGTGTGTGCTGTGTGTTACTGTGGGTGAGCCTGTGCTACAGCATGCAAATTAGAGGTTGGGACAACTTTTGGGAATCAGTTCTGTCCCTCCATTTTGAGGTCTGTTTTCTGCTGCGCATACTCCAGGCTAGGCAGTCAGCAAACTTTGAGTGATTCTCCTGTCTCCATCTCCCATCTCTCTGTAAATGTGTTGGAAGTACAGATGTGAGTTTCTGTATCTACCTTTTTGGAGGATCATAGATCAGACTTTTGAGCAGCAAGAGTTCACTGATCCATCTCAGTGGCCTAGAATTAAAAAAAATTTTTTCTATTAATCCTTTTAGAGTTCATACAATGCATTCAGACCTCTTCCCTCGTCTCCTCTCATATCTACCTACCCCTAACACCATACCCTCCCACTTTGTGACCTCTATTATTATTTTTAAAGGCCTAAAAATCTAATTTATGCTCCTCAAATGATCTTGTTTGTGGGTCTATCCCCTAGAGCTTGGTCAACCCACCTGGTGTCATATCCTTTAAGACTGACTCCCTTTCTCTGCAGCTGTCAGTTGCCAGTAGTTACTCAGCTATTATGGGGCTTCATGCCTGCTTCCCCTTCCATGCTTTGTTTCTGTCTGGCATGGGCTGAGACTCCACAGTTTCTTATTTTCTACACATTGACTAGTTGTGGATCTTTTCCAGTTCCATCTGTTTGTGTGTATATAAAGTAAATTCATCTATAAAGAAGAAATAGTAAAGTTTTTTCCAGGCACATATAGAAGTATATAACATCAAATTAAGTTACTCAGCTTTACAATGACAAATATCATGTCTTCTGTCATTTAAGAGGTTACAGTGGGTATGAATATTTACATTGTATTTCATATACAATATAAAAATATCCCTCATTTTGTATAATTAATATGTATTGAAACTCACATGAAATTTTGTATTTGATTCTGTTTACACAAGAACATACCAATCTGCACAATTACACAATAGTTTCTTAGCATCTTAACTGTTATTTTAGAAAACATATCTAGAGATGGGATGAAAGAGATGTGTAAAACATAAGATTGAAGGAATATTGAGAGGAATCTGTCTTCTGTTTTGAGTGGAAGATAGTTCACATAAGAAAATAGAGGCTTTGCATGTTTTTCACTGTGACTAAACAAACTTAAACAGAGGAAACCTTTTCGTAACCTGTATTTCTGCATAGGAGAGAGGATCTTTGACAATGCCTGCATTATTTAGGTAGCTAGTGCAGAAAAATACCTTTAACACCTGAGCAGATGTGATTTAGGATGACATACTTAAAAGTGGATTATAACAAAGAAAAATGGCACTTAAAAACCAGTGTGCAGTGAGGTGGGAGTGGTGGTGCATGCCTTTAGTCTCAGCATTGAGAGACAGAGGCAGGTGGATCTCTGAGATTGAAGACAGCCTGGTCTATATAGTGAGTGTCAGCCAGCTGGGGCACTGCTGTATTTATTAGTGTAATTTGTTTTATTTATTCATAAATACTAATAAGTATACACTTATCATAACTATAATTCTAAACTTGCATAAGGAGAATATATTTCATTTATGGATGGTGATACCTTTAATATTTCAGGTGTTCATAAAGTGTGCTTCCCATGCGAGAGTGGCCTGGAAAATCAAGAGGGACATTTGTGGCGAGTAGGAATCACCAACAGTACTCTATCTAATGAAAATATGGTTGAAGTAGGTAAAACATTAATGTAAGCATAACCTGTATTTGAAATCTGAACATTTTGGGGACGTTAAGGAATATTTCCTCTGTAGTCAAACTCCTGGCAGAATGTATAGCTTGTTCCTAGTGAGCCTTATACAGTGCAGGCTTGTAAAGAACTTGATAATGTTAATGTAACTGAGAAACCCTTCTGGAGTCCTGAGCCTCTTAGTCTGCCTATCAAGATTTAAAGATCACAATGTTCTGTTTACTATATGTGACTAGGGATATATATCTATACAACACAAAGACAATGTTATTAAGACATACTTGAGAAAACTCTAGTAAATTCAGAGAATAATGGAAATCCTTTTGTTTCTATAGCAAGACTTGTCCAATTTAAGTAAACCATTGCATGAAGTGTATGTGATGTTCTATAAAAGTCTCATGTCAGTAAATGATAAAGTACATACCAGTAAAAGATATAAATGCATATTTTCCTGCAAAACTTTAAGAAATTATACCCTACTTAATATCAGTAAATACATGCTAGTAATAAGCCTCATGGATATAAGAACTTTTAACAAATTCTTTTGTCTCAAGGCAAAACGAAAGGTTGGACAGGAAATTCATCAAGATGCAAAATCCTCTGACTATAAAGCCTGTGCTCAAACACTTAACCAGAAGTTGCAGCAGAACAAGAATCACACATACCATACAAGTGTGAAACCATATGAATGGAAGGAATGTCTGAAAGCTTTCTATGATGAGTCAGTCCTCACTGAACCTCAGAGAAATCATACCAAAAAGAGGCTCTATGAATGTAATGAATGCAAGAAAGCGTTCTACCGCAAGCATTACCTCACTGTACATTGGAGAACTCATACAGGTGAGAGGCCCTATGAATGTAAAGTGTGCAAGAGAGGTTTCAATTACAAGTGCTCCCTCCTTATACATGAAAGGAATCACACAGGTAACAAGCCTTTTGAATGTGAAGAATGCAAGAAAGCTTTCTCCTCCAAGTCAGAACTTACTGCACATTATAGAATTCATACTGGTGAAAAGCCCTATGAATGTAAAGAATGTGGTAAAACTTTTAACTGCAAATCAACATTAACTCGACATCATAGAATCCATACAGGTGAGAGACCCTATGAATGTAAAGATTGCAGGAAGACTTTCTATTGCAAGTCATCCCTCACTGTGCATCAGAAAATTCATACAGGTGACAAGTCTTATAAATGTGAAGACTGCAAGAAGGCTTTCTATTCCAAGTCAGGACTCATTCGACATCAGAGAATGCATACAGGTGAGAAGCCCTATGAATGTAAAGAATGCAGCAAAACATTCTACTGCAAATCAAATTTAGTTACTCATCGTAGAATTCACACTGGTGAAAAACCCTATGGTTGTAAATATTGTGAGAAAGCTTTTTACCGAAAGTCACATCTAACAGTACATCAGAAAATTCATACGGGTGAGAAGCCTTATGAATGTGAAGATTGCAGGAAAACTTTCTCCCGCAAGTCGCATCTCACATCACATCAGAAAACACATACAGGCAAAAAGCCTTATGGATGTGAAGAATGTGGGAAAGCTTTCTACTCCAAGTCAGCACTCACTCGACATCAGAGAATTCATACAGGTGAGAAGCCCTATGAATGAAAAGATTGTAGGGAAGCATTCTACCTCAAGTCACAGTTAATTAGACATAATAGAATTCATACAGATAAGAAACCCTATGAATGTAAAGAATGCAAGAAAGCTTGCTACTCCAAGTCAGAACTTACTCAACACCAGAAACTTATACACATGAGAAGTCTTACTAATGTAACCAATGCATAAAAGCTTTTTCCTGCAAGGTAAACCACAGGCAACTTCAGAAACTTCATACAAGCAAAAAACCCTATGAGTGTAAAGAATATAGGAACATTTACTGCTAGAAGTCAAATTAGAGAAACAGGTGAAGAGCCGTGTAAATGGAAAGAATTCAGGACAGGTTCTTCTATAAATCAGTGGTCATTGACTGTTAAGGTACTCAGGTGAGAAATCCTAATATAAAGAATACAAGAAGGCTTACTGTGACTCAGTCCTCATGTGACTTCAGAGAATGCATGTAGGTGAGACTGAGAAGGTCAGAGAATACATGAAAGCTTTCTGTTGGAAGGGAGACCTTACTCAACATCAAAAGACTTACATAAGTTTTTAAAATATGTTCTTACAATTCTCTAATCAATGGCATCTTTAGTAACCACTCCCTTTTTTATCACTAGTTTTACTAATTCTCTTTTTTCTCTTGGTTAATTTGGCTGTTTTTCTGTCTTGCTCATCTTTTCAAAAAAAAAAAATCTTTTCATTGATTCTTTGTATTTTTTTTTTTCCATTTCTAGTTCCTTAATTTATGCTCTGACCATTATTTCTCCAATTCACTGCTTTTGAGTTTGGTTTGTTTCTGTTTTTCTAAGGCCTTTTTAATGGTGAATGTTATGCAGCTCTATACTGAAAAAAAATAGCAGCTTGGGTAGAAAGAAATACAAAGTGCATAGTTTGAAGAAGAAAAGCAGGAGTGGAGGGGGGTAAGAAGTTTAATGTTACAGCCAAGGCAGCCAAAGAAAATGTGTCCTGGAAGAGAGGATACATTGTTTCCCATTGTTAAGGAGATTAGAGCCATTTAGGAGAAGCCTCTGGCTTTGCACTTGATCAGTGGAAAGAATACTCTCAGGGTAAGACCCAACTTGTTTAAGGCCCAAGGAGTTTGCTGCCCCTAGAAAACTACAGCATACAAAAGCTGCTGATAATGTTCTGATAGGGCCAAGGTCCATCCCAAGTTGGCAGTGAAACTTAGTAGTGTTGGTCACATGGTGCTGGCTTTAGAGGCATGAAAAGAGTTAGTGGGTCATTGATTCTTCCATGTTTTCAGAAAGCCATTGAGGCCAAGCAGCATGCAGCAGGGAAATCACTCCATAAAGAAGGCCCTGGGAAGCCAAGAGGTCATAAGAGACTATTGCATGAAGCTGTGAAGCTCAAGCCTGGGTTATAGTAGAGACCCCAAGTAGGAGATGCCAGAACCATGAAACATCTGCAGGGAGTGGTACCAACCAAGGGAGAAATGTATGTTGCAGGCAGCAGAGCTGAAGGGACTGAGCCATCTAAGTCCTGTGGAACTAAAGTCCCAGACATAGGACATGGAGCCACAGGAGTCTGTGTTTGTCCTGGTGAATTCCAGTTTTAGTCTGGTAGTCTGTACTATGCCCCCATGCCTCCCTTTTGGAATTGGAATATGTATTCTTTGCCATGGTTTGTTGAAAGTATGTTATTTGCTCCTTGATTTTACAGGGGCTTACAATTAAGAAGGTAGTCTTGAGTCTCAGAAGAGACTTTGGACTTCTGAATACTGTTAAGACTATTAATTGAAGATTATGTGAAATTTTAAAATTGCACTAAATGCATTTTGCATTTTGATATGGCCATGAGCCTACGGGGCCCAGGGAGTGGAATGTGGTGGTTTCAGTGAGAATGTCCCCTATATGCTCCAAGTACTTGAACACTTTATCCCCAGTTGATGGCATTGTTTGGTTGAGATTTGGGGGTGTGGCCATGCTGGAGAAAATATGTCATGGGGGTGGGCTTTGACAATTAATATAAGTGCCTTGATCATAGTTATCTCAGCAACAGAAAAATAACCAGTACATCATTTATCATTCAGTAGTGTGTTGTTTAATCTCTTGAGTTTGTATACTTTCTCCAATTTCTCTTCTTGGTAATTTACCTTTATTCTATTGTGGTAAGGTACAATACAGAATGTAGCTTCAATTTTCTTTTGTTAGATGTTCCTTTGTGTCCTGGTATGTGATCTGTTTTGGAGAATGTTCCATGTACTGCTGAGAAGAATGTGTGTTTTGGTGCAATGTTATGTAGATGTCTCTAAGCTTCACTTGATTTATTATGTCATTTATCGCCAATGTTTCTGTGTTTATTTTTTGTCTGAAAAACCTGTTGAGAAAAGCAAAGTATTCAAGTTGCTCATTATAACTGTTGTAGTTGATCTAAGACTTTAGAACTGTTAGTGTTTGTTTTAAGAAATTCGGTGCACCTATGTTTGGTGTGTGTGTTTAGAATTATAATCTTGATTAGATTGTTTCCTTAATAAATATGAAGTGACATTCATTATCCCTTGAGTAGTCTTTTTGTCACATATTAGAATAGCTGCAACAGTTTATTTCCTCAATTGTTCATTAAATTGGAAAATCCAGGGATGCAAGCCAGAGTAAAAGATCCCCCCACTCTCCAGAAAAAGCCCAGGATCTGATGGATTCATTGCAGAATTCTGCCAGATCTTCAAAGAAATAATTCTAAAACTACCCAGATGAGTTCATACAATAGAAGGGGAAAGAATGCCCCCATACTCAATCCAATATTATCATAATTTCAATCCAATATTATCCTGATACCAAAACCATATCAAACACACACACACTCACACACTGCAGACCAATCTCTTTGATCTCAATAAAACACTGGAAAACTGAATTCAGTATCACATTAAAAAGACCATTCCTCATACCCAGGTTGACTTCATTCCCCAGATGCAAGGTTGGTTCGATATATGGAAATCAGTAAATGATTGTCACACCAGTAGACCCAAAGACAGAAATCACATGATTATCTCAATAGCTGCAGAAAAATCTTGTGATAAAATCCAGCATCCCTCATGGTAAATATCAAGGAGTGGGGAGGGATGGAGTGAGCACACCTCAACATAATGAAGGCTATATGTAACAAACCTACACCCAACATCATTTGAATGAGGAAAAATTCAAGGCATTCCTACAGAGATGAGGGACAAGTGTGTCCATTCTGTCCAGTCCTATTCAATATAGTGCTTGAAGTCTTAGCTGGAGCAGTGAGAAGAAATAAAGGGATTCAACTAGGAAAAGAAGTATCTCTGTGCAGATGGTATGATTCCCCATCAAAAAACAATAAACAATCCATTCACAGTAGCCACTGAAACAATCCAATACCTGGGTATAAACTTAACCTCAGAAACAAAAGACCTCTTCAACAAAACTTTGTAAGACACCAAAGAAATTCCGGAGACACTAGGAGACAGACTTCCTAGTGTTCATGGATTGGCAGAATTAATATGGTGAAAATGGCCATCCAAAAGCAAATAGTACACCAAAAAGCACTGTTCAGATTCAGTGAATTGCCAATCAAAGTTCCAGGGCCATTTTTCACATAAATAAGAAAAACAATCTTAAAATTTGTAAGGAAATGCAAAGGACCAATGATAGGGAAAGAATCCCACACAGAAGAATTCTGGAGGCATCAGAAATACTGATTTCACATTTTACTCCAGAGCCAAAGAAATAGCATGGTTCTGGCACAAAACCAGGGATCTCAGTCAGTAGAATACAGGACCCAGGTGTGAGTCCACTCATCGGCAGCTTTTGACAAAGATGCCAAAACTACACACTGGAGTAAAGGCAGCCTCCAGCAGGTCATGATTGGAAAACGACATGAGTATGTAGATCCTTACCTCTCCCTCTGCATAAAACTCAACTTCAAATGGATCAAGGACCTCAACATAAGACCTGATACCCTAAATCTGAATACCAGATTTAACCTTATTGGGAATGCCCCTAATGACTTAGATCCAGCTAGATTGTGTGTCTTAGTATTTATATCACCTAAAATAATGCCAGAGTTGATGATCAAACATTCAAAAGAACTCACTGAAAACAGTTTATTGAAACCAAAATAGTATATAGGTTTTTTTTTTTTTTACATTAAATGTAATTTCCCCCATTTATATCTTAGGTATGATGATTTATATATCACCCTCTTGTTTTCCATTTTAATGTGTATAAATGTATATGGTCATTGTAATAAAACTATTCTGTAAATATAGCTGGTAATTTATTGTTAAGTTGTTATGCAAACTGTTCTCATGACAATAGTGGCTATTTAAAACAGCCAGAAGTCACTCAGTACATTATACAACACCCACAAATGCACTGAGAGGCCTTGGCTCCAGACACACTCCTAGAAGACTCCATTCAAGCCACAGGAATTTCTACAGCTGTCATGGGCACTGCTACACTGGCAGTTTGTATTAAAGATGCTTCTTTGGTCACTGTGTAGCATATTGAGAGAATTTTCGTCTATGATGGTTGTCCTGTACACAACCCCAGTTATAGCAGATGAACTTTATACAGCTGTTCCTTCTCCTTTAAAGTGTCAGGTGAGAGAATTGCTCTTCCCTAGCTCATAGCATCCAGTGGCTGATGGATATAGAAATCTAAGCAGCACTCAAGCTGCTCAGATAAGTCCGGGGCTTACCCCTCCTGTGCTTAGGACCTCTTTTCAGCACTTCACCCAGTCAAGTTTTAGCCAAATAGCTTTATTGCCTACTTGTGATTGATACTGGGGAGAGGTTGAACTGAGTACACAATGAGCAAATGACCAGCTAGATTGTGGCTGAATAGCTCCATAGAGTGACTAGGAGGAGAGATTGCACAGATTCTTGAACACTGAGGAGCTGCTGAGTTAGAGACAGGTTGTGACCATCCAAGAGTTTGAAAGGCAAAAGACAGGAATTTTGAGACAGGTGTGCGAGACCCAGGAGCTAGAGGAGTTTTAAAG